GGTGGCCCAGTACACCTGGATAGAAACCAGGACCGATCGTATAAGCTGCAGTCGGCCCGCGAAAGACAAGAACCTGTGAGTCCAAGATCGGACACGCGACGTTATGGAATCAATCAAGCATTTACAATCCTCTTTCCGAAGCCTCGAAGATATGACGGGCACGCCTAGGTATCGAAAAGGAAGAGAGCCTTGTTGAAACCCAAGGCATAGTAGAAGGTCGCTGTGTAGCTCCGGGTTCCCTCCCGACAGATAAATATTGCTTTTTCTGGCATTTGGTCTTAGACCAGACCAATTGGAGAACAAATCGATTGCTTCCTTGATTAGCTGAATGGATCTCAAATGCGCTTGTGCGAATATAAGGACGTCATCCGCAAAGAATAGATGGGAGGTGCGCACTTTCTTGCAACGCCAGAACCATTGGAAATCCGGATTAAGAGTTTTGTCCCTCAGCACACCCGAAAAGATTTCCATAGCTAAGACAAAAAGGTACGGCGACAGTGGATCTCCTTGTCGTATTCCCCGGCTACTAGCAAAGAAGCCGTGAAGTTCCCCATTTATTGCAACTGAGAATTTGGCTGAGGATATGCAAGCTAAAACTAGCTTAGTGAAGTTTTCCGGAAATTTGAATGCTGCAAGTACCTTTTGAATGAAGCTCCACTCAATCGTGTCGTATGCTTTTTGGAAGTCCACCTTGATGGCGCACTTAGGAAAGTAAGACTCATGGTGGAAGTCCGCAAACAACTCCTGGGCGATCATAATGTTGTCACTTATTCTACGACCTCTGACGAAAGCCGTTTGTGGCGGTCCAATTAGCGAAGGAAGGACCTGCGCAATACGCCTTGCAAGGATTTTGGAGATGCATTTATAAAGGGTGTTGCAACACGCAATTGGTCGGAAGTCATTCATACTCGACGCATTGGGGGTTTTCGGTACCAATGTTAAGATGGTATTGTTAACCTCTTTGAGCAAGCATCCAGTTTCAAAGAAGTTCTTGATCGCCTTCAAGATTGAAGGACCAGTGATCCCCCATGTGAGTTTGAAAAATTCAGCATTGTATCCATCTGGACCCGGCGCCTTGCCTTTAGCCAGTGAAAATAGAGTAGATTGGATTTCCTCATCGGATACCGGATATGATAAGTAAAGTTGTTGGTTCTCATCTAAAGTCCTGTCAATAAAGCCACCCACCTCCTGGACTGAGGGCTGAATATTAGTTGGACTACTGGTGAGTAGTTGCTGAAAGTGACATACAATGTGGTTCTTGACCGCCAATGGTTCAGTAATAAACTCCCCATCTCCTGTCGAAACAGATAAGATTCTATTATGAAGACGTCTATGGTTGACATGATGATGAAAGAACTTGGTATTCATGTCCCCTTCCTTAATCCACCGGATTCTGGATTTTTGCCTGTAAAAGGATTCTTCTTGTAGTCTAAGGTCGGAAAAGGTTCTTTGAAGCTCCACTTCTCTTTCAAGAAGGCTCTGGTTGAAAGGGTTCAAGTCCAAGGCCGACTGAACAAGGAATAGGTCCGATCTAGCCTGTTCTGTTCTTGTGGAAATCTCCGAGAAGGAGCTACGGTTCAAGAGTTTCAACTGAGCCTTGAGAGCTTTAAGTTTGCAGCAAACTTGGAACATAGGAGAACCCACAATATGTGAATGCCAAACTTGAGTGACTAAATCCAGAAATAAAGGATGAGAAGCCCAAAAGTTGAAAAACTTGAAAGGCTTGTTGGAAGTAGGCAGAGGAACAATCTTGATCACCATTGGGGAATGATCCGAGATACCAGAAGGAAGGAAATTAGCTTCCGAGTATGAGAAGATTTGAGACCAAATATCATTGGTAAGTACTCGGTCAATTTTACGCATTTTCCGGTTTGCTCCTGAGGAGTGCGACCAAGTGTATCTGCATCCTACATAACGGAGATCCTCCAGTCCCGCTTGGTTTAGGCATTCCTTAAGATCATCAAAAGCGGGAATCCACGGAGTGGAGCTGCCTACTCTATCGTCTGAATCTCTAATCGCATTGAAATCACCAGCAACAAGCCAAGGGATATCACATGAGGCGAGCCGAATGAGATCAGCCCACAAGTGTCTTCGATTCATAAAAGTGTGTTCACCGTATACTACTGTAAGCATACAAGTTTTATCCATGTGAATCAACCTTGTTTGAGCATGGATGAGTTGAGAAGAAGAGTAGTGAAGGTCCATCTCAATCTCCTTTGGGTCCCAACCAAGCCATATCCTACCAAGAGGAGAGAATTCATAATTGGACATCCATTTCCAAATAAAGCAAAAGGTCTTTAGAAATCTCAAAAAACCGAGAGACTTTGACTTTAGTTTCTATTATACCAATACAACAAAGATGATTCCTCCTAATGAAAGAACGAATTTCTGCTTGCCGAAGGGGTCCAACTAGCCCCCCTAATGTTCCATATTCCAAAAAACATTTAGGAAGAAGGGAAACTATCTCTGAGCTTTCCTTGGTCTCCTCCTTTTAGATTTCTTTTTTGAGGAGGACAGACTAGGAGCACTCATAGGGCATTTCGAACTAAGTGTAGCCCCAAGAGAGGGTTTCGGTATCTCTTCAGAAACACTAGATGCAAACGCGCGAGATCTGGTGTTGGGGGGGGACACAGCAGCTGCTTCCACTCCCATCCTGTCTTCTGAGGTACTAGACTCCTCCATTACTGCCCGGGAATCAGAGGAGTCTTCAGTGGAGTCCAGTGAAGTGTGTAGATGAGCCATAGTCCGCTGATCGCAATTCCAATGGTTCCCGAGCAAGCAAAGGGTTTGAGTCTCGGCCCACCCGAAGGTCTCTGGGATGGCCCCACCTCATTGGCTTCTCTATCGGGTCCCATAGAGGGATATGGGGCAGAAGTCTGGCATTCTGTCCCAATGGAGTGCTGTGCTGGTCGGAGGAACAAGGGCAGTTGGTCAGGAACAGCAGCCGTCGAGGGAGGAATCTGAACAGGGTCAGAGGCGAAAGCTGATTGTGTGTTTACCGGGATCTGAGGTTCCAGCAAGTCTGAAGGGGACTGTTCGTGAGCATCGCAGTCGCCGGGGGGAAAGGCCGGGAGCGGGACATGCTTAGCAGCCTGGGGCTTTACCTTTTCGGGACCGGACTTGAACCCACCCTTCAGTCCTTTGGAGTTGCATATCATGACCAGACTTATGGACATTATGAGAAGGGCCTGCAGTAGTGTCCACAGCCTTGTTAATGGCCTGAACAGAACCACAATCAAAACCATTGGATCCCTCTTTATGTCCAAAGATACCGCAAGAGGGGCAAGCCATCGGTTTCCACTCATATTCAACATTAATAGTGTTCATCTCACCATCCCAGCAGAACTTAACTTGCTCAGCTCTTGGTTTAGTGGCTTTGAGTTCAACACATACTCGCGCAAATGAGATCCTGGTCATCTGTTCAGTGTGAATATCCACGTACAGAGGTTTGCCAATAGCACTTGCTATGCTGCCAATGCCCATAGGAGACCATAAGGACAGAGGAACATCTCTAAGTCTTACCCAGACCGGGATAGTCTCCAGAATTCCTTTCTTGAGTTTAAGCTTGGAATGCCATTGTTGTAATACCAAGGTACAGCTGAATATAGAAACCGGCCCCGAGTCAATGATCTTTCTGCGGAATTCATTATCAGGAACACGGAAAAAATAGAAGCCATTCTCATGTAGTTTGATCTCAGCAACTTTATCCCCCCATGACTTCCTTATAGCCTCTTCAGTCAGCTTGAAGGGGGCTTTCTTCCCTATGAACTGGCCTACAACACATTCCAGCCAAAAGGGGTTCTCAGCAGCAGCTATATCTGGAGTGATATCGACGATCTCTTCACCATCCACCACCCGTGGCGGTACATAAGTAAGTCTATACCCTTTAGTTAAAACTCTAGCAACATTTGCCCAAGATCTGGTTTTAGGGCCAGGAGGATGCTGCTCGTGGGCCTTGTTAGGAATCTGTCCAGCAACATTGGAAGTTCCAGCAGTATCAGGTTGAGGCCGACCAGCACGCCTGAGGGACCTGCTCCTATTCTGTCTCCCCTTGTTGCCGAAGCCTGCTGCATTTTTCCGGAGATCAATACCACCAGGAGGACTAGCAATGTGTCCAGGTCTAGGGGAGTTGTGCCGACTTTTCGATCGACCTCTACTGCGACTACGTCCAACATTGTCTTTGGAGAAGAAACTGGTACCAGACGGGGGGCCAGACCTGGTGAAAGCTACTGATTTATCCCTAGGTTCAGCTGTCCTAGAGGGACTAGCAATACCTTGTAAAGGCTTAGGAAACGCAGCACCATTTACCTCCTGTTGTGTCTCGGCATCAGGAGGAGGGTCAGCATCCAGAACCAACGGAGATACAGACGATTGATTAGTTGTCTCCATGTGGACAAATACACAAGCACCTACCAGTCAAAGATGCTAGGACCAGGGGAAGGGATGTTGTACATATCAGTATGATCTCCAATATAAGCACCAGCTTATCACACCCACTCAGCAGAAATATAATGGACCTATCCAGGACCTCAACCAACTCCAATCAATCCGCCAGCAACAACAACCAGAATAGGGAGACACTTCAATCTGAAAACCGAAAGTTGCAGTGCAGAGCAAGTACCAGACCACAACACCAGCTCCAACACTGAAGAAAGGAGACCAGAATAGCTCGAAATCCAGGTAAAAACCAGCAGGAAACCAAACCTGAACCCAAGGCTCAGTTCAGCCGAGCTTCTCGTGCGAAGGGAGTCCACCCCAACGACGATCAGATCTTGGAATCCAACGTCAGTGCTGGACGATGAGAGACGACCTGCGGAGGGGTAGATGAGGGGCGTCCAGGCGGCCTATCCTCCAAAAATCAGCCTTAGAGGTCGCCGGAATCAACCGGAACCGGCGAAGGACGATCGGGTGAACAGTGCCAGCGGGAACCCATTAGAGAGCGATAACATTCTGTAATGAACAGTAACCGCGAAATTTGGTTCTGCTTTTAACAATTTGTTTGTACCTAATTAAAAGAAAAAAAGTACTTTTCTGGTTTCCCGCCAAAACGTGAAATACTATTCAAATTTGAGAAAATTATGAAAAAGTTGTATGTGAATCTACGTGTCGACATTTAAGTTTTGTGAAAGTTTCATGAGTTTTGAATTTATAAAAAGTTAAAGTGGGTGAGCTGCAATATTTAGATTAAGCAAAAATAAAAATGTAGAAGTCATTCCCAATATGCCCTAAGCTTGGACAGTTTTTACAGCTTTTTCTCCTAGTTCTCCCTAAGTTCCTCAAAGCCTGCTTGCACTTTCCCACCTTGGTTCAATCGCGGAGGACTTCCAATCCAATTGCTAAATTGGGTTCTTCGCTTTTCTTTCTCTATAACTTGGTTGAATTCTGGCTCTTTGGTCTTGGTGCATAGAAATGAACCCTCAGATGAAGTTTCTTTTTTTGGAGAATTGAGAGCAACTTTTTTTGTTGAATGTTTCTGAGAGTACTTGGAGCGTGTCATTTTTGGTTCTGGCTGCTTTGTCGTTCTGTATGGATGATAAACAGGATTCTTTATGATGCTTGTTATCTCTAAACTAATGTTTTTATTCTTTGTGGGACAGTTCTGCTTCCATGGGATGGGACGATAAAATTGTCAAACAGCCGGAAGAGGAAACTCATGAATCATGGACCCTATCTCTTCACTCTCTGTCTGATTTATCCCACATTTCGCCGATAGTATTCTTGTACCTCATTAAAGAATGTTATGCTTCTGGCATAACAATGCTTTCCCCTTCAAAAGTCTCTTTCCACGTTTACTTTCCAGTTTCCCTTAATGGTTCACATCATATGCAGTATATGTGAGGAAATGGCTGCTATGTGCATTGGATGATTGACTTGCCTGCATCTTCTGGTTATACGTCAACTTTTTCTTTAACTTCTCTTCCAAAGATGAGGCTCTTCTTTAGATGCTCCTCTTATTTTAAGAACAAACTGAATTTTTGAACCATGTAAGACGTTCGTCCTCAGATCTCAACAATTAGAGAGACACACATGCAGTACATAGTGCATCTCAGTATTTACGACTACTGTCACGCTGCACAGAACATTACACTTTTTGATGAGGAATAATTGGTCATTTACTGGATGTTGCTATCCTTCAAGTCTTTTCATAGATGCTTGGAATCCACTTGGTTTATGGCTATCTGGACTTCCTTTCTTAGACATATTGCCTTTTGTTTCAATGTTTAGGTACCTTGAAGGCAACTAGAAAGTTCGGGGTACTTCAACATCAAGTTCATCAAGTATTAAATAATAGGCCCCGACCTGGACCCGCTACTTTTGTCATACACTGTCTCTATGCACTACCCATATTTGACATTCACTGTGAGGGATTCAGTCACTTGATAATATCTTCTCTCCGTCGTTTTCTGAAAGCTAACCTTGCGGACTCCTTGCAAGCAAAGGACTTAGCTGCACATTTATTTGTTGATATGGTTCAGGGATATGTAAATCATGATGAGAGGATACTTGTGAAGGTAGTAGAAGTGTTTGACGTGAGAGTGACAGACCTTGAGAACGTCATATGCCAACTTAAAGCTACAAACATTAACTTTAGACCAATCACTGCCCTAACATTTCTTGAGCAATATATTTTCAAGTTTATAGAGTCTCAGTCCTATATGACAGCAGTCACTCTATTGGAGCACTTTTCTATTCGCCAATCTGGGAAATCCTTCCTTCTTGTCATGATGGAAAAGAAAGAATTTAGGGCTGCAGAGAAGTGGGCCACATTTATGGGCAAGTCAATGTTATGTGTACTTGTCCAGGAATATGTAGACAGAAAAATGCTGAAGTATGCTTATGTGACAATAAAGAAAAACAATCTCCAGCAAGAATTTGCTGATGTATATCATCAATGTAAAGAAAGGTATTTCTTTGCTGTTAAAATTGTTTGGAAGTAACTTTTGCTAAAGATTTATTTATTATGTTGCTGATAGTGCATGGAAATCCAAATTTCTTACTGCAGCCATTGTATCGAGAACAGCAAGACTAATTTATTCTTTTGTAGTTCAATGAAGCAGCTAGCAGAAAAAGGATGCTGGGATGTTGCTGAGTCAAAGGCAAAGGGTGATAAACAGTTCATTGAATACCTGGTATTAGTCTAAAATGCTTTGTTCCAACTGTGGTGTCTTTCTTTAGATGAACTTGAATTTGCACTCTTTTAAGTTGCAACCTTAATAGATTTGCATCAATCTTTTGAGGTTGGCAGTTTGGCCTTCTACAGGGGTTCCTCAAATAGTCTTATCAGTCCTGTTATTCTCAGGAAGGGGTATTGGCAGAACTTTTTCAGTAATTGCACGCTTCATCTCCTGCTATTGGACTTCGGTGCAATGTATAATGGTTCTTGGTTCTTTCATAGAGAAATGTGATTAATTTTATAGTCATAAGTATGTCTTCTGATGTAACTAGAGCATTTGAGCTGCATACATAAATGACACCTTGTGGCTTGAGCAAGAAATTCTGTGGTGCCAACTCCTCCTTTGTGATGAACATTTGTCCTTTTACTGTTGTTTTTTCCTCCTTTCCTTTGCTTTTTCCCCGAAGGTGGTATTTAAGTTTCGAAATAACAAATTACCAGCTTGTAGTTGTCGTTCTTCTAGACATATAAAGAATGGAGACTTTGTGTGCTTTTGCTCGTTCTATTAAGATTTTACTCTTCCACTTTAAAGGTCTATTTGGCAATGGAAGCTGGTTACTCTGAAAAAAATGATGAATTGTGTGATCGATACTCTCTTCAAGGTTTTCCAAAAGCCAAAGGTGTGCCAACTTCGTTTTGTTTGCTGATATAGTAGAAAATCATATTGCTGTAACTTCTCTTCTCCAACCTATAAGTTTAGAAAACTATGTTGTTGCACTAGTTTTGCTGAAACAGTTAACTTTTTGTCAGTCACTGCTGTGATTGGAACCTCTATTGTGCTACTAGAATCCAACTAGACGCCTCAAGTAGGCTACTGGGAACCCTAGACCAGGATTCTTCCTGCTTTGTTTGCATAAGGTACTTGGACTATGCATAAGCTATTATTGGCACAGTTGACAAGGTGTTGGCATGCTTATCTAGTGAGTTAAGTACAGGGCAATTGCGTTGATCAGCGTAGATGGCTATCTTAGTTTGAATATGCCTTCTCATGTGCATATCTTTATCATTACATTGCTTGGATTTTGTCAGAGAATGTGGCAAACTTTTGGGATTCTTATGGCCAGTATATTGTTATTCGGTTTACCGAATGGATGTTTGCTGATGTTCTCTTGTTGCTATAACTTGTAAATCGTGGTTTGAGTTGTATCTCGGGAAGTGCTGAAGTCATTATGTCTTGAAAATCTGCTGAATTATTTGATATCTTGAAACTGACAGTTGCATCTGCAATTAGGTCTCTAGTTCTCCATGATTGAGGAAAAGAATAGTTCTGCTTGTGCCTGATGATCTAGAATCAATTGCTTGCCATATTATGTTGATCTTGAAAAGTTTTTAGTGGACCTTCGTATGTGTTGGGTATTGAACTTCTCTGATAAACCTGTATTCTGTTGCACTATCATCAGTATGGTGTAAGTATGCTATGCCTAGGTATTTAGTCCTTGGTGATCTCATGTTGTGGAGTATAGTAGTAGGATTTTCGTAGTGATGTTGCATTCTCTTTTCTAAAATGCTAATTTATAACCGTTGGTTTGTTTAGAATTTGATGCAACTCTTCTGCATCGTAAGCACTATTTGTGCCTCAAAGAACTGGGCATTGAAGATGTTTTTTGGGTTGATCAAGTGGATAGTTTGCATACGGCAACATGTTATATTGAAGAATCTAAAGTTGTTGGTATGGACTGTGAATGGAAACCGAATTATGTAAAGGGCAGCAAGCCTAACAAGGTAATTGCTAGGTCCTGTCTGACCTCATCTTCCTATGCATAATCTCTTGGAGGTTTTATATACTCGCTGAAAATTATCTTTGTGCCTTAAACAAATTCATTGTTGCCATAAAAGAAATTAAATGGTTTAACAATCAAGAGTTATCATCAAACTTTTGGTGATCGCCACTCTCTTTCTTATATTTCAACGGCCATGAAAACAACTATGATGCATGATATTCAACAATGACATGATGAGAAAAAAACTTTTAAGATGATTTCAGATGTGCTTTACTTGTTATATAGTGCGCTTCCTTTTGGGAAATACGATGAGGGATATGCTTGGCCAGAAGTAGAACCTGTTTGAAGGTTGCATTTGGAAGATCCGCGTAAAATGGTAGAGAGTATCTATATCTGATTTGACATGTGGTGACCACTATCAGATTGGATCAAATCAGATAAAGGCTGATGTAGATTGTATAGGACTACAGTGAGGAGGTGGCAATACAAGAAGAAGATGGTTTTGTCACCGCTTCTCACCATCTTGTATGTGGTCGCCATTGGCATGGCTAGTCTCACCAATCAATGTCCCTACTGCTGTCGACTTAGCTCTGTCTGTCTGTCTCTCTCTCTCTCTCTCTGTGAATGGACCAAGTGTGTAATTTGGCTCTAAGCAATGACTTGGTTTTTTCAGCCAAATTACAGCAGCTGCTTGCTCTGCTGAGGTAATTCAGAGGTTTTGGTTGAGCAAGTTGTAGCTGCAATTTGGTAAAGAAGATCAAGGCGCCGTCAAGTCTCAGTTTGTCGACTTTGTGTCAATTGTCATGACTTGTTGCCACCTTTGCGATTGGCTGGTTCCACTCTGACCTCTCTGTCAGAACGAATATCTTAAAAGGTCATCCATTAATGTCAGAAATCAATTAAGTCCGATGTTTATTTTGATTTTCAGGTGTCCATCATGCAGATTGCTTCCAGCAGAAGTGTTTTCATCTTTGATCTCATAAAATTGTCAGGGGATGTGCCACATATTCTGGATAACTGCCTGAGTCGTATTTTACAGTCTCCAAGTATTCTAAAGCTTGGTATGAGAAATTATTTAGCGTAATTGTATTCTCTCCTTTGCTTCTTGGTCCAAACATCAGCCTTAATTTGGTATCACCAATATGTGTCTACTAATCTTGGAAAAAGAAAATCATTGTACTGACTTAAGAATTTGGAATTTCTGGTACCAGACGTACATAGGGTATCACAAAGTAAGAGTTTGGACAAGGAATAATTATTTGTGCATGTTTGGTACTGATATGACTAAGGGTGACCGGCATTGGTTGTTTCAGTGTGTTTGTTTTGCTGAAGTGAACAGCTTTCCACAGAATTTCCTGATGTTCCTGCTCTATGCAGGCTATAATTTTCAGTGTGAAACGAAGCAACTCACCAGCTCCTATGAAACATTGGGGTGTTTTAACCATTTTGAAATGCTGTTGGACATTCAGGATGTATTTAAAGAATCCAGTGGTGGTCTCTCAGGGCTTGCTGAGGTAAAATGTGACTTGCATCTCAAATCTTGTATTGCTGTCTTGCTTACCAAGAGAGGGGTGAAAAGGGAGGAACACAATTTCTTCTTGCTCAGAACTCATGTTGGGATCCTGATGCATGCCTTTGAGATCACCTTTAGCCCTGAAGTAATTAGTTTTATCTTTATTTCTTGGGTCTAACTAGGAAATACTTGGTGCTGGTTTGAACAAGACAAGAAGGAATAGCGACTGGGAGCAACGACCTTTGAGTCAAAATCAGGTTATTTTACATTTTCTTCTGTTTTTTTTTATATTATTTCCTCAGAATGGAAATTACAGGAAGAATCACACAATTTAATATCAGAACTCAAATGGTTGAGAGAGCATATTATTGTGCGGAATGCATCTGTAAGAATGATGTCAGTATGCGGAACTTCATGGAGACACTTCCATGTAAATCTTAATGCTCTGAACTTTCAAGAGTGTAGGGTCAGCAGACATGATTTTGGCATTTGCTTAAGCGATTTCTCGAGATCTTTAGTGCAACAAAAGTTCTTCTGGCGTCTATTTAAAACAACGTAACTGCTGATTTATTTTAGGAAAAAAATTATTTTTCATCTTTATACTTTCACGCTTTTTCTAATCAAGTTCTTCTTTTAATTTATCTTATCAAGTCCTACTTTTGCTGAATTTTTAATCATGCCCCTCCGATACCAAATTTGACCAAATTCAGCAAACGGCGGATGTGCCAAAGTGTGATGTTAATATGCAGATACCCAAATTGACATGTGTGAAGAGAATTAGATATCGTAGACAACGTGTAAGTATGATGTGGATAATTTCCGTCAATCCACATTGACAGAAAATTTTTATCCCTGTCATGGCATGACGTCGTTCAACGGTCACGTCAGCTGGACTTAATTGGATTTGATGTCGGAGGGATTTCATTAGGGGACTTGATTGGAAAAGGCATGAAAATACGTGCAAGAAAAGTAGAATTTTTCCTATTTTTTACAAATGTCATCCCCTCTTTCAACCCCAAGATAGGGAAAGAACCATAAACGTATATTAAGGAGCAAACACAGCGCAGAGAAGAAAGGAGAAAAGTAACCATTGATGTTTCCGAAATATGATTAGAGCAGAAGTCCTTTGATTTAACTTGAGCAATTGCATGTTTGCAGCTGGAATATGCCGCTCTTGATGCTGCTGTTCTTGTGCACATATTTCATCATGTACGGGACCGATCTCAGCAGGCTACTGCAGATGGTAATGACAAAATTGAATGGAAGTCTTCTATAGTAAGTGAATAGCACCTATTGGTTTCCTTAACTCTCCTATAAGAAAAGCTGAAGTGAAAAGTATGATATTCTTTTTAACTTTTGTGCAATTTGTTTGACCATTAACAGTTGTTGCAGATTTCGCACATGGATAATGCCAAGACGACCAAAAAGAATGTTCGGAATAGAACAAAGTGCATAGTGGAGATTGACTAGCTCGACAATCAATTCATGAACTGCCGGAGCTATTGCTGTCAGGGGCGGTTTTTCTTATGTAAATAGCTTTTGCATGTAAAGACTAGACATCATTACTTAGTGATCCAATTAACAATTATGATGTGCATATGGGAAAAATTCATTGCCAATGAGAGCTTCAGTTCCGTCTTCTTGTGCTGGGTCGCTTTTTCTTAAGAGAATTTTGGTGCTTCAGAAAGCTCCTTGGTCGAAACCTGACCACGCCCACACTCTATGCTTTTGAGTTCTGGTTTCCCATGGTTTCCCAACACGAAGTTACTCTTGAATTTCCTTGGCTAAGAGTGTATATACTCGACAGGAGCTAAATAGTATTGGTGAGTCATTCACCAAAATGAGCAGCCATCTATGCAGACATTGCAATGTTCTCCCTTGCACTGTAAGTTGCCTTCGCCGTGTCCATCATTCGCTTTGCAGATCTCTAGCTAAGCGATTTCTGGGGAAACATAGCGTGCTATATTTGGCAATGAGAAGAACCAAAAAGAGGGACAAGCGAAACCAAACATAACCGCAATTTTGGTATGTGCATGATCACGTTAATTTCCTTTTGGATTTGGTGGTCTTGTATCATTATCATTGATTTAAGATGAGTATTGTTGCGGATCTTTCTTTGATTTTTGAATAATCGAAATTTCAACCACCCGACAAACCCCGCGAATGTAGGTTTGGGACGAATTCGTCTCGCCTCTGAAGCCGATTACAGCAGCATCACGGGTTAATATCAAATACACAGAAGCCTTCCGTCACATGGCATGTAACCTCTAACTTCACTTAACAAGAGAAAAGCATCATCGTAATTTCAAAAGAAAGAAAAAAATTGCATGGATTTATATCTCAATGTTAAAAATAGAAGGTCCAAATCCTGGTCGCCTCTCTCTCTTACATGAAAGTCTCCATCCCCAACCGAAAAAAGCACCTCTATGTTTGCTGTCACCTCCATCTGAGAACATTAGAGAGAGCCCTCTTCTCTCTCTCTCTCTCTCTCTCTCTCTCTCTCTCTCTCTCTCTCTCTCTCTCTCTCTCTCTCTCTCTCTCTCTCTCTCTCCAAAAAAAAAAAATCCTTCTCATCCCAGAGAGGGGAGAGGCCACGAGGGAGGGCCGGGAGAGAGAGAGAGATCGAGGACACAGATGGACCCGTGGTCGCCGAGCTACCGATCCCATGGAGTTGGCCGGACTTTAGAGATCATGACAATCCAAGCTCTTAACCAAAACCCGATGTACGTAGCCAAATCCAGCCTCGCATGCTTGAACCCGCTTCGCCCCCACACAAAGTATACAAAGTGAAGAAGTCGGAACGATCCGGAGAAGAAGAGGAAGAGGAGGGTGGCCAGATACAAGCTTTATTCCGTCGAAGGCAAGTTCAAGGCTTCTCTCAAACAAGGATTCCGATGGTTGAAGCGCAAATGCTCGAGCATCACACGCCGATTCTAATTAGTAGAAATTACGGATTATTGTGTTCATTGCCATCAAGAGAGAAAAAAAGTGAGATCTGTCAAGAGGAAACAGAGAGGTTTGTTGTGTTTTTTGGGTGTTCATCTTTATATGTATCTAATGGTAATCAAATATTCAGAAGAGTGCCATAATGTTCGATCTTTCTGATATTATGTTCGTCTGACTCGTTGTTTCATTCATCGATCTCCAGCATTCAAAAAATAGGAAATGAGACAACCCGTATGTGATGGTCGTATATATTTATAAAAGCCGATTTTTTTTATAAAAAAAACCGTAATGTTATAGAAGCAGCATTAGTTTACCTTGCTTGATAATATTTCAAAACAACAATTTGACTACTCGTAATGTTAAGGGGGTGTACATTCATATATGACAGAAACATTTTTATCAGCAACTAGAAATACTTGAACCTTATATTTTATTTTAGCTCAGTTCATCATACTTACTGGGGAATTGATGCTCTTAACAATAAGAAACTTGAAAGGGTTTTCGTTCATCACGAAAAACCGAAAGCCGTTTGGGACAAACAGAACATCTACCATTAGTTAAATTTGACACAAGCAAACTCACAAAGGAACTCAAAATGGCCAAGGATTTTTTCAAAGAAAACATGAATTTTGGACAGAGAAAATCTGGGCGTAGTTTACAATATTGAGTAGTAGAAAATCATCGGGCTCTAGGTGAAAATTTCAAATCCAGGTTTAATGAGGGGGGAACTGTAAATAACTAGGGAATTCTTGTTTGCCTATGTTTGATATTTTCATCCTTGCCTCACAAGCAGCTAATCAGTTTGCAGTCTACAAAAGCTGCCAATGGAGGGACAAATGAAAAACATTGCTATAACGTAATATGTAGGCAAATATGGAGTTTCCAAAATCAATCAAATAGATACCCGGTGTGGAGCAAATCATTCTTAAAAAATAGAGCTTCAAGAAAAGTATTACTCTATTCGCTCACACTAGTCGTTCAAGGATGAAGAATCTTACTAGATGACCAATGCCTTCTATTGACATTTGCGTCAACATTTTGATCTTGGCTGAAGCATTTCTATGACCAACTCCCCCACTCCTTCAATTATGTAAGACTAGCAATTTAGGAAAGTACAGAACCTGTCATGGAAAACCTTCCTGTCAAAAGAAGGTAATGATGAAAAGTAGGTCATGAATCTTAATGGAAAAATGATTGTTCACTGTTAATTAACCTCTGTTGAGGAAACATCACTCCACGAGTCACAAGACAGCTCTTCTTCATAATTTCTAAAGAGGCGTGTTCCAGATAATTTCCGTATTGCTTCCAATGAGTCACAACCAGAAATATCCAAATCAATTAAATCCAACTTTTCAAATCCCCGAAGCTGAGTAAGTTTCTTACGGTCTTCAACTACTAGAGATCATAACTTCTCATATCCGGTCACATTTGGCAAAGTCTCCATTGATATGCATCTTGTGATATCCAATTTTACTAAGAATTTCGCACCATCAAGGCCTCGAATTTCGACTAGATTGTTGCACCTCCTAGCCACTAAATGCTTCAAACACCACGATTCTGGACAGAGAAGCATTTTAATGGAATTGCAGTCACATAAAAGTATGTCCTCCAAGAACTCCAAATTCTCACAGCCCTGAATTTCAACTAGGTTATTGCAATGCTCAGCGCATAATTGTTTCAGACGAATTGATTGTGAAAGTCCAATCTTTCAATGGAACCGCACTTTTCTGTTGAAAGCTCTTCCAAGTACTTGTATCCGTCAAGCTTAAGTGATATCGGCTTATCAAACTCTCTAACACAGAGTTTCAAGAGTCTTGAGGAAAGCATGAGAGCGATATCATTAGAAAGCAACTGCATCAAACAACTCTGCATCAAGGTCACATACAGAAAAATCAGCAGGTACCTATTAGATTAATAGAGACTTAGAACCTAATGAGCATACAGACAGCAGATTCAATTGAGAAAACTACACTAACAAGCATTCAGGAATGTGCTGTTGAGACCAAATCAGGTGTTTGGATCTTCACAACCACCGAAACTTCCTCAGTACAATCGAGTTGGCCCATGAGCCTCTTCATGGTTGGCACGCAAGATGGCCCTCAACTGTTGCTGATTCTTCCTCTGCAAAATCCCTCATCATTTTGATTGGGCTCTGGCATGAAACTTGAAGTTCCTCTGCCAAGTTAGCCAGACCCAAATCAATCATGTGATAAAACGATTCCATGACAACAATAGGATCAAATGGGATGCAAACTAATTAGCAAATTCTTGAGCTCCTCGCCCCAGCTTGTTTCACAGAACGGGTGAAATATTGTCCCAATTATGCACAAGGTTATCGATACAACTCATTGAATTGAAGTCCAATACTAAGCCTCAGTCATTACATAGACTAACCAGACCTGTCACAAAAGCAGCACCGGTTCGCCTTTGCTTGATAATCTTTCAAAACAATAGCTTTGAGCTGGTCTATAATTATATATGACAGACAAGTCAGAACTACTTCTCTTTTTTTTTTATCACCAACTAGAGAAACTTGAAACTTTGACTTTTATTTAGCTCAGTTTATCATACTTACTAGGAATTCATGCTCTGTCTTGTAAGATTCAAGAGGAACATCAATGGAACAATAATAAACTTGACTGGGTTTTTTATCATCAGAGAAAATAAAAAGGTGTTTGTTCTGAACAGGATATCAATCATTAGTCAAATTTGACACACAAAAATACTCACAAAGGAACTCAAAATGGCCAAGAATTTTTAAAAGAAAATATGAATTTTGGACATAGGGAAAAATGGACTTTTGAAGCAGTTCAGAATATTGAGTAGCGGAAGATCATCGGCCTCTAAATGAAATATTCAAATCCCAGGTTTATCGAGAGGGAAACTGTAAATCACTAGGGAATTCTTGTCTACCTATGTTCGATATTTTCATCCTTGCCTCACTAGCCGCTAATCTGTTTGCAGTCTACACAAGCTGCCAATGGAAGGATGAAAAATATTGCTATAACGTAATATGTAGGCAATCCGGAGTTTACAAAATCCATCAAATAGATACTAGATGTGGAGCAAATCATTCTTAAAAAATAGAGCTTTGAGAAAAGTATTACTCTATTCGCTCATGCTGGCCATTCTAGGATGAAGAATCTTACTAGATGACCAATGCCTTCTATTGACATTTGCATCAACATTTTGATCTTGGCCGAAGCATTTCTATGACCAACTCCCCCACTCCTTCAATTATGTAAGACTAGCAATTTAGGAAAGTACAGAACCCTGTCATGGAAAACATTTGTCAAAAGAAGATAGTGATGAAAAGTAGGTCATGAATCTCAGAAGAAAAATGATTGTTCACTACTTATTTACCTCTGTTGAGGAAACATCAATCACTCTCTGTTGAGTAATCATCACTACATGAGTCGTAAGACAGCTCTCCTTCATAATTTCTAAAGACACGTATTCCGGATAATTTCGGTATTACTTCCAATGAGTCACAACCGGAGATATCCAAATCAATTAAGTCCAACTTTACAAATGCCCCAAGCTGAGTAAGTTTCTTGCAGTTTTGAACATTTAGAGATCGTAACTTCTCACATCCCGTCAAATTTGGCAACATCTCCATTGATTCGCATCCCGTAAAATTCAACTTTTCTAAGAACTTCGCACCGTCAAGACCTCGAATTTCGACTAGATTGTTGCACCTGACAGCCACTAACCGCTTCAAACACCGTGATTCTGGACAGAGAAGCCTTTTAATGGAATTGCAGTCGTCTATAAATATGCGCTCCAAGAACTCCAAATTCTCCTGGCCCTGAATTTCAACTAGGTTATTGCAATCCTTAACGTGTAAATTTTTCAGACGAATTAATTGTGAAAGGTCCAATCTTTCAATCGAACTGCACTTTTTTATTATAAATAACTCCAAGTTCTTCAATCCGTTGAGCTTAAGCAATATCAGCTTACCACACTCCTCAATACAGAGTTTCAAGAGTCTCGAGGGAAGCTTGGGGATGTCTTCAAGTAGAAGGCATGCCGAAAGATGGAGTTCTTCTAGGTGGATTAGGCTAGAAAGATGTGGCAACCTGGGACTCTGACAAGAGACCCACAGATCCGTTAAGCCCGAAGGAAGCTCTGGCAGCGACCGGAGCTTGTCACAGCCCGATAGTCTAAGGCTTTGGAGAGAAGAAAGATTCCGGATGCTTTCTGGCAGGTCAGATATCAATGTGTCACAGAAATTGAGACTCTCAAGCGAAAACAAGTCGCCGATTTCACTTGGAATTGCCCCTTTCAGACTATAGCATCCTGCGAGACCTAAAGCCCGCAGATTCTGTAAATCCCCAATTGAGCTAGGGATTTCTCTCAGTGAGTGACAATAGGTGGCACTCAGTTTCTTCAGCTTCCTCAGAGAACCAATAGACGTAGGGATCTCTGCAATACTAGTAGCATCTAATAGAAGTTCTTCTAAATCTTTTAATTCGCCCACTTCCTCTGGTAGCCCCTTGAGACTTTCACAGCCATACAAGTCCAGAAGTTGCAAATTCTGTAAATCCCCAATTGAGCTAGGGATTTCTCTCAGTGACCTACAACATCTGAAACTCAGTTCCTTCAGGTTCGTCAGAGAACCAATAGACGTAGGGATCTCTGTAATACCAGATTTAGCCAATACAAGTTCTTCTAAATCTTTTAATTCGCCCACTTCCTCTGGTAGCTCCTTGAGACTTTCGCAGCCAAACAAGTTCAGATGTTGCAAATTATGTAAATTCCCAATTGAACTAGGGATTTCTCTCGGTGACTTACAACAGAAGGCACTCAATTTCTTCAGCTTCCTCAGAGAACCAATAGACGTAGGGATCTCTGTAATACGAGATTCATCTAATACAAGTTCTTCTAAATCTTTTAATTCGCCCACTTCCTCTGGTAGCCCCTTGAGACTTTCACAGCCATACAAGTCCAGAAGTTGCAAATTCTGTAAATCCCCAATTGAGCTAGGGATTTCTCTCAGTGACCTACAACATCTGAAACTCAGTTCCTTCAGGTTCGTCAGAGAACCAATCGACGTAGGGATCTCTGTAATACCAGATTTAGCCAATACAAGTTCTTCTAAATCTTTTAATTCGCCCACTTCCTCTGGTAGCTCCTTGAGACTTTCGCAGCCAAACAAGTTCAGATGTTGCAAATTATGTAAATTCCCAATTGAACTAGGGATTTCTCTCAGTGACTTACAACAGAAGGCACTCAATTTCTTCAGCTTCCTCAGAGAACCAATAGACGTAGGGATCTCTGTAATACGAGATTCATCTAATACAAGTTCTTCTAAATCTTTTAATTCGCCCACTTCCTCTGGTAGCTCCTTGAGACTATGACATAACCTCAAGTCCAAGGAAACGAGGCTCTTGAGTTTGCCAATAGAAGGGTGGAGATGCTCCAGTCTGGCACAACCGCGCAAGCAGAGAACCTTCAACTGCGTGAAAGCCGAGAGATCGGGAGTACATCTTAAACCTTCGCACCATCCAAGGTCGAGAACATGTAGCCGCTTTGACGCCTATACAAAAAAGGAGAATAAGATGTCAAAAGAATGAGTTGGGGATCGGCTAAACAAAAACAAAACCTGAAAATCAGAGAGAGAGAGGATGTGTCTTTCTTTTTTCCCCCAATCTTACCATGAATGAACTCCTCCATCCTTCCCAATCCTCTGTGAACCTGCTCCATGATAAATCCAGCACCGATAAGTTCGGTAGATGCAAACTAATCGTCGGAAGAGGCGGATCGTCTCCCAAGATGCAACATAGAAAAATTCGGCAGATGCAAATTCGTTGGAGTCTCCGCTTGATGTCGCTCCATGATAAATCCTGCACCAATAAGTTCGGTAGATGCAAACTGGTCGTCGAAAGAGACGAATCACTTCCCCCAACGCGCCACTCAAGCCATCTTACTTCAGAAAGGAGTTCGTTAGAAGAGTCTCCGCTTGAAGCTGCCCGCATCCAGTCACAGACCGAGAAGAAGGGCCTCTGCAAGTATTTTCAAAGGGTTCATCTGAGGACGTCTGGGTATGGCGGAAGGAATTCGAGGAGACCAAAAAAATGACGGAATCCTTTTCAATTCCCCTTCAGTTATATCCAATCAATCCATTGAGAGTCTCTAAATTGACTTTTTAACTTTATAATTTTTGCTTTTTCTTTTTAAATCTTGGATATGCACGATTTGTTATCTTCCTGTCACTCCCGTACATAAATACGGACACATGATTTCGCATTTAATTTTTTAAAATAGTTATTGCTTTAAAACAGCTAAGGCAAATGCACCTCAATGTTTTATCTTCTGCTCTCTTTTTTTTCAAATTATATGGCTCGTGCACTTTGAATTTTATTTAAGACGAAATACGTGAAACCATTTTACAACATATAAATGTTTACTTGTAAATTTTCATATGACTTGTGTATAATTTTTCAAAAGAATTTGTCAAAGAGTTCTAGTGAGCCACCTTTAAGTCGCTAAGGAAGGACCCGATTTTCTTTTCATTAACTATATTTGTGGAGTGTTTAATCATTTTTTTTTAAAAACTGAAACTTTTTTTTTTGCAAAGTATGTTTAAAAAGAGATGTGGTGACATTGGTTAGCAATGCACTTTTTTAGATTTTAAGCAAAGCCTGTCATATGAAAGTTTCTGGATAAATCACTTATTTTTATTTACCAAAAAAAAAAACCGAAGACACATGTCCGTTTGCATAAGAATGGCACTCTTTCTTTTTGCATCTTATAAGTCGAAACATACTGTTATAATTTCCTGCTAAAACAGATCATTTAATTAGTTGAAGATGGTGAAAAAAATCCCACATGGCTTTGATTGATTTTAATAATAATACCTATAGTTTCTCCCAAAAGTTCAATCGGTTAGAATTTTATTTTTTGGTTGGTTTGATTCACTTTTACGGTTCAACTCGTTTGTCGTTATCTCTACTTTAAATATTAAATAGTGAAAAACCTACAACGGTTATCATTTCTCCTAAGTTTGTTCGTAGGAAAAGTCACTCAATTGTTGTAATCATCACCCCATGCTATCTTTCATAATTTTCACTCGTACATCAATCTATACGGTATATTACATTAAAAAGTCTACTATATGAAAAGGGGATTTCAAATCTCAAACTTTCGTCCAAAGTTTACACACAATTCGCAGATATTTCACCAAAATGAGTTGAAGAAATAGGATATAACAAAATAGAAAGAATTATATTTTAAATAGTCAGGACAATTGGAAATTAGTCCCATAAGTATTTCATTTTCCAAAGTTAAATCAAAATCTTTCTACCTTACAATCATTTAATTTTTTGGGAAAATATCACCAAAAACCCCAAACTATGCCACTTGTGACAAATTTGCCCTTAACTTTTTTTTTGTAATACGAAAACCCCAAACTATGCCACTTGTGATAAATTTATCCCAAACTATTTTTTGTGACACGAAAAACCCCAAACTATACCACTTGTGACATTTACCCCACGATACTTTCACTCATGGGCATTTTCGTCTTCCTTTTCTGTTTTTTTTTCCTTTTTTCTCCGGCGGAGGGAAGCTGGCGAGGGCGGTCCTCGCCTTGCCAGATCCGGCGAGGGCAACCCTTGCTTGAGTCGGGCGAAGTCGCCCTCGCCGGATCTGGCGAGGGCAGCACTCGCCCGACGTCGAAGTCCGGCAAGGGCGACCCTCGCCGGTGTCGAGCGAGGGTGACACTCGCCCGACGCCTGCGAGGGCATTCCTTGCCCAACCTAGCACCGGCAAGGACCGCCCTCGCCGGCTTCCCTCCGCCAGAAAAGAAAGGAACAAAAAAAGGAAAAAAAACAGAAAAAGAAAAAAGACGAAAATGCCCATCGGCCAAAGTATTGTGGGGTAAATGTGTCACAAGTAGCATAATTTGAGATTTTTCGTGTCACAAATGACAATTTGAAATTTTTCGTGTCATAAAAAAAAGTTCAGGGTAAATTTGTCACAAGTAACATAGTTTGATATTTTATGTGGTATTTTCCCTAATTTTTTTCCTACACTAATTATCATCTTTCAACATTTCTGTCTATTCAAAACAAATTTAACTTTTTTTCATTTTTCCAAAGACCTGTATTGTGTGCTCTTTTTGCTAATGTTAAGAAGTTATTGGATCAACAAAAGAGTGTGATATCGACTCGTTGGAATGAACTATTTCAAATTATATCAAGAATATAAAGATGTTTCCATTGCCCAACATCTCTTGGTTAATTGCTAGGCTTAATTCGTCGCCATTGATCAGTCATGAGCCTATGAGGCATCAAGATGGACAAATATATTATAATAATATGACATGAGCATTGATAATTTAAGTAAAAGATAAACATAATTGAAAATTTTGGCTTCATGCTGGAAGTCATACATAATGAATACAAAGGTGTGGATATAATAATCAGCACGAAATTTCCTTTGATTAGTCAAGTTTTCTTTTCTTTTTTTTTTATAAATAGTCAAGTTAGTCTAGCGGTTTCTAGCACAAAAGAGGCATTGTCCCAAAAAATATAAATAATATAAAAGAACTTATAGCGGATAGTAATGTTTGTTATAAGAAATGAGCAAGGTGAACGTGTTAAAACCTTAAAAAAAGTAAGGTTTTCCTGAAAATATTTTTAAGGGGATTTTTGCTATCTTATCTATCAAGAGGAAATAAGAATGAAAAGAGATAGAAATAACTGGTAGAGCAGAGGGACGAGTATCTTCAAAATCAAAATGGAGAAAAAAAAATCAAAAATTGGATTCCTAAATCACAGGAGCACCACATTACATTCGGATACTTATAATTGGCCCTAATACATATTATTTGCCAATTCCTAAATTTTTACGGATGTAATTTATATCAATGAAATCGAATCAAATGATTTAACTTTTTCATCTCTCGGATACTTATAATTTATTTAGTTGTCACGATTAATATACGATGGACATAAATGGATGTTTACAAAAAAAAATTTCCTAGAAAGTAAGAGCATCTGTTCATGCTAGACGAAATACTAGAATTAATCAGATTAAATATATTAAAATAAGAGGGAGAGAAAAAGAAAGGAGTGTAATATTTTACCTTATATTCCCATATTACTCTTGAGGCTCCCCTGTTGTTGTAATCCCATGGCCCGCTAGGTTTGTCAAACGGTTGTCCTTGACAAAAAATGTTCCTTCCAAGGTCTCTAAGTTGATCATGCACAATAAACTCACCATCATCTCCAATTTTAATTAAGCACCTCAACTTCAACTCTTCAATTCCTTGACTTGGATAAAACCCGCGGTCTTCCCACATGTACATGGCGAGTTTGTGCACTTCGCTATCTACGCCAATAAAGAAACAAACAATATCGAGAAAAATCTGCTTATGTCCATCTTCTAATGCATCGTAACTTATTCGCAATATCTTTTGCACATCTCTATGTGGTTGGCTTTTTAATTGCTTCCGCACATCTTCCCATACTTTTCGATTTGTTTTTTTATACAAGTATGAACCTACAACCTGAAGTGCCAAGGGAAGTCCACCCATGGTGGATATGATATCACTAGATATACCCTCAAAGTCCCTTGGAGAATGGTCCGTATGAAATGCATGTCTGTTAAACAAAAGCAAAGCTTGCACCTCATCCAATTCATTCAATTCATACTTGTAGTCTACCTCGAATTCAGATTGATCAAGAATGGCTTCATTTCTAGTTGTAGCGATGATCATACTTCCTGCCATAAACCAATTATGTTCCCTAGCCAACGCATCTAGTTGATTCTTGTCATCTATATCATCCAGAAGAATGAGAACCTTTTTTCCTCTGAATCTAGATTTGATTATATTAATTCCATCGTCAACATTCCAAACTTCAGGTTCAATTCGTAGAATTTCCTTAATTAGTTGCTTTTGTAAATAAGGAATACCGTTGCGGCAAGCTGTTTCTCGAATATCTGCAAGGAAGCTGCGATGCACGAAGTCATTCGACAGCCAGTTATAGATTACCTTGGCAAGTGTCGTTTTTCCGATCCCGCCCATGCCATAGATTCCAATCATTCGAGCATTAGTGGTTGGAGTGTCTACCCAATTCCTGATTTTGTTCACATGATCACCAATTCCAACTAAGTGCTTACTAACATCAAGCTGAAAATCTTGTCGCAACTCGCTCATAACCTTTTTCTTAACTTTTTCCACTAGTTCTCCTTCATGCCTGTCCAAGTACAAAACTCAATCGATAATTTCGTAATTATACTTAATCTCATCAAAAGACACCGACATACATGTGAAGAATGGATGGGGCCAATTAACATGCAAGATGTTTTGGTTTCACAAATAACAATGGGGGATGATAGCTAGTGGCCATTTCATTTTTTTCTCTTTCGTTAGATGGATGTTGTTGAAATAGAATAAGACGGTGCACCTGGCTCGTTAAGAGTCTTTAGAAGTATAATATCTGTTATAAGGCTTAAGAGTGCTGCTAGTTGAATGATAGGAGATCGATTTTTTTTTATTAAAAAAAGTTTAGGAGAAAAGGAGGTTACTCCACTCTAAGGCTAGGGCAGCACACATGTCTAAATTGAGGACTTATAGTTGATTTACAGATCGCTACCAATGGGGTTTACTGATAGTGGAAATCAAACCTAAACATGGTAAATGTGAACTAAGTGTCCGGTCCTTTTCAACTTAGCCGACTTTCATTGGCATGAGGACGTCTATTGTATCTGGGGGTGATAAAGCTTTGGAAGACTGAGCATTCGAGTCCTTTCTAAGCGTTTTGTTTGGTGAATGATACTATTGACCGGAGGGGTTGTCATTTCTTTGATTTTTGCTCCGTTGGAAACCATTGTGATTCATCTATTTCACATGAACAAGAAAACTCACTTATCAAAAAAGAAAAGTTCAGGCAAAAGCAAAGTACCCGTTAGCAACTTTCTCGGATTCCCATCCATGTAAGTCACTCACTTCTCTAAGTGCTCGCTGCCCTTCCTGAATATCCTTCTCATCAAAATGCTTTTTATGCGAATGGAATGCCTCCCCAAAACTTCCTTTTAGATACCGCACATCTGATGGGTCCACTTTGTAAAAGATGGGCAACACTATGTGTGATGTGCTCTTCTTGCAGTCCATGATATGAATGAGCTCGCGGAGGCACCATTTGCTCGAAGCATAATTTTCAGAGATGATGGGGATCGAAATCTTAGATCGTGTGATGGCATCGAGAATCTTCGAACCAAATTCCTCACCTATTGGTATGCTGTTATTGTCCCTGAACACATAAATCGGTACAGTCGCTGCCTCGATCAAACTATGGTAGAGGTGATCGGTGAATGCCTTGCGGGTATCCGAGCCTCTAAAGCTCAAGAACACGTCGTATTGACTGCTGCCTACATCTGTGGGTACTGGAGAGATGAATGAAGAAGTGGATGCTCCCTCAATGCTCTCTTCCTCTGCTCTCTTTCTCTGACTTTGCTCTTTGTCCATGGTGATCTCAAGGGGAAAGTTGAAACGAAAAAGATGCTTTTCTGCTGCTTAAAAGGATTGACGAACAACGAAATATGCTTTTAGGATGCTTTTCTGCAAATGCTTGTTGGCTGGGTCCACTCTGGATAACGTGGACGTCAATTTCCCCTCTAGGCAATGCTGAAGAAGGTTCGTGTTCCTGAGAAAGGCCTTCAATTGAGTTAGCTGACGTTGTTTCACTGCGGAATATTAGGTGGCCATGAAGAGGCCCCCAAAAAGCCCCCATCATTTACTTCTTCAGAAACACATATTTGAAATTAAACATATTGAAGTGTAATTAGTCAACTTCCTTAAAACACATTTGAACAACTACATAACTTTACGCACGTCTTTGATATTTAAAGACAGATTCTTTCAATTCACACCTAAGATATTCAAATTATGTACAAAATCCATGGAAGCATCTTCTTCTGAATATAAGCTCACACAATGCCTAATCCTTATCATAATCCGAGACCTTACTCTTATTATTTTTAGCCTAATATATAAACAACCCTAACTATCTCCACCGCCTCATTTTCACAAACCCCTTCTGTCTAATCCCATTTTCATTGGCCAAACTTATGTAGTGTCGTTTGATTGTTGCCCAATAAACCTCATCCTCTAGATGTGTGCACTTTCCTAATTGGAGGAAATTTTTATCAATCACGTTTTTAATTTGGCAGGATTCAAGTTTCAAGCATCGCTGATATGTAAAATTAACTAAAGCTAAAATATTAATCGAGGAAAAATTTTCAAATTACTCAGCTATTTAAATTATGAAGGAAGTCGATGAAAATCATTCTAAATGAAAGGGAAATACTTCCTTTTGGGCCCACATTTTATTTCTTTCTAAAAGTGCATAGAAATGAGAGGTAATGCAAAAATTGCACTTTTCTTACAAAATTGGCCTTACTTCCTTTTAAAAGTGAATAAAATGAAGGATAATTAAGTCTATCAAAGAAATTAAGTTCCACTTACATCATTTCCACCCAACATGTATCCCAACATATATTGATTTTTACTTTCCCTCCCTTCTTTCGTGGTTTGCTTGTTTTTTTGTTCTTAATTTTTAGAATTTGAAATTTATGGCTTTAGTTTGTTCGAAATTTGGGGCTTTTTGTGTGATAAAATTTTATGACTCTTAAATAGGATTAATGTTAATACAAAAGGCTGCGTCTCACTAGTAATTAGAATATCACGGGGAGCAATTTTGCTCTTTGCTTTAGATGTAATGCAATGTGTTGCGTCTTTTTGCATGTACACAGGTTAGCATACTGCATGGTGTCATGTTGGCATTTCATATGGTGACACGTTTAATAATCGCATTTGTCGTGTTGTGTCATCTGACCTTCTTTATTAAAAGTGTCGTGTTCGTATTGTGGCAATTCAACGCGTTTACTAAACATTTCTTGTTCAGGTTTTGCCATATTTGTGTTATATCCTAACTCGACATGACACAGTTAATATGACACGACATGAATTGTCAACTGTATCTTTAGTAACATGATCGCTCACAAAAACAATGAAAAAAAAAGAATGTCCAAAGTCTTTGAAATTTCATGATTCATTTGAGTTTTTTTTGCTCTCTCTCTCTCTCTCTCCTATGTTCTTTTCTCTTTTTGCGTGAATGTTGCTTCTCTATTCGTTTCAGGTCGGTTGCTTCACTTCTCTTATCTTTTGGTTCAAATTTGGTGATTTAATATTTTAATTTTATTTAAAATATTCTTAATGAAATTGGAAAATGCAAGGTAGAGATGAACAAATGGTCGTTGTCATTTCTCTCTTATTTATTTCGTGCTGGCCCCACATGCCAATAATTTTATATAGGACAAATTTATGATACCATGTTATCGAGCTGTTCACTTCAAACTTTCAAATTTAAATTATCGATTGATATATTGTCCACAAAATAGAGCTATAATTTGTTAAATGACACCAAATGAGCATGACGCGTTAGTATTAAGTTACTAATGATATATGAAATACTTGTACACTATCCTTGAGTTCTTTTCCGGGCCATTTTTTTATTACAATTTTGTTGACATATCATTCAGCTCTTGTAAAGTCAGTAAAACAATGAAAATAGAAGCATGCGAAATATTCAAAAAAATAAAAGATGATTTAGGGAAAAAAATAGAAAAGAAGGGAATGAAGTGTCTGGGCTTACTTTTAGAGGTAACGTCCAAAAGCCTTTTGAATCATGAATTCATGACACATAGAAACCTTCTTGAACATGAATTGAAAGTGAAAAAAGGGAATGAAGTTGGAACGAAAGATGCTATTCTGCTGCATAAAAGGATCGATGAACTAATCTCTATGAACAAGTATGAACATGAATCTGTTACCAAGCAAGAAAAAAATGAACATGAAATCTTTAATTAATTAGTAATTGATTGACTAGGAGCAGTTGCAGATGTTTTTAGTCCTCGCCTTATCTTCTTTTGGACCTCACCCTATTCAAGTCACAACCTGTTGGCTTGATCCACTCATGAGTAACGTTTGCGTTTTTCAATTGGGCTATAAGAATATGTGTACAAGTATATTGCGTTCAATTAAAAATTTAAAGCATACGTCCAGTTTCTTATTTGGTTATTGAAAATTGGAATTCGATAAATCACTTAAAAGATAATGATTGAGTTGAAACGGAATTAGAAACGTGTGAAAGACGTCGAGAGAGGACCGAGCTAGTAATTGTGGATGTGATTTTCTATTCTAATTTTGTTTAAAATTGCCATATTCTTAATGAAGTTGGAAATGTGAGGTAGAGATAAACAAAATGCCCGTGGTTATTTATCTTTTATCTATTCCATGCCGGCACCACATGGTACAATTCCATGTAAAATGAATTTATTTTGAACTGGTATTTAATCACTGAGCCTTTCGTTTCAAATTTTCAAATCTACAAAGTTGATTGATATTTTATCTGTAAAAGGAAGCTGCTGAGGAAAATTTTAGAGACGACCAAGGTTTGAAACAATGGCGTCGAGTGCTTGTCCCCATTTTTGTTGGAGTGCCCACCTTGAGAATATCACCGCAAAGATTCTTTATCCAATTAAATGGAAGTAGAATAGGATTATCAACTAAATTCGTGATAAGTCAGGTTAAAATTGATAAATCACATTTGGAAGAATGAATTTATTGTTTGTAACAAAAGAGGTGTAAGAAATGAGTGATGTAAAGCTAGGTGAATCTCCTAATATGCATTTATTTGATTGTTTTCATGTGTCATAAGATCAACTAGGTTTTTTTTTTTTCTTACTATAGGATATCATGTAAAAGGTCTTAAGAAGTATCATGCTATGGATTTTGGTATGTTTTATATTGTGATGATTGAAACTATCATGAGTTGAGAGCAGGTAAAAAGTAGCAATATAGTTAAAATGCTTAAACTTTCACCGTACGTCTTAAGTTTTTTTTTTTCTTGCTATTGGAGAAAATGAGTTTTTTCTTTTTCTCTTTTTTTTACTAAAGAAGGGAGAAAATGAGTTAGAGGTGAAAGGGAATCTACTTTCTAGGATTAATGGTCCAACAATTCAAGGAAAACATAATATTTCTCATTTGGAATTTTTTATAGGGAGGTAAAATTGTCGAATGAAATCTCCTTAAGAGAAGACTTACTCTTAGGATGATCAGTTTCAGAATGAGTAGGTCTTGAACAAAGCATCAAGAACGTATCCTGTAATAATTGGTGCTCCGTGTTTGTGACCGAGAACCAAACTAGTTGACCCTCAAACCAGCCTACTTTTATTTTTCTGATTTATTTTTCTATAAATTAATCTAGGACCTTCAAACACAAAGAAACCTCACAACGCATAAAAAATAATGGTCTCTGGATTCAAGTGAAATGTGGCAATTTTGTGCGCAATAGAATCTAGTGCACTTGCAGACCTCCTCGTTCTAGTTCAACAAAAGATCAAATACTGAATTACGATGCAACTAACAATCAGCCAGTAAGGCCATCATAGGATTAGCCACATCTAAAGTCGAAAACAAAGGGCTTTCTTTTTGCACCGAAGTAAAATCTGAGCTGGGGACATACCTCGTTAACAGGCAACAGCGGCTCCAAAAGAGAGAATAGAAGACCCTCCTCTGCTATTCAGCGGCCACCCCGACGTCCCCAATAGACAAAAAGGGCCCAGAACACACTTAGTTCAGCCGATTATTCCGATAACAAAGCGACAGAATCAACAGAAACGACACGCTAGTAAGGGATGAAAAAGTGATTACCTCCTGCGAGCTGAGATGCAAAGAGAGGCGCGAGATCGGGGAGAGAAGACCCTGAACAAGCCTGGGCGAGAACTTTCAAGTGGGAAAAGAACAGAGAAAGCGAGTGAGGACTAATCAGTAGACGATAGTCTCGAATGGTTTCTGCAAGAGAGAGGCTCAATGTGAAAGATAAAGTGAGAAATCAGAGAGAGAGAGAAGGGACCAATCAGTTTAGACGATAAGTCTTGCATTTATTATTGATGGACAGGTATCCCATCGCTGATTGACTGGTAGCAATTAAATTGTTTTCAGATGGCAAGCAAAAGTCAAGTCACACAATTTGGACCAGAGTACGGAATGACCACTTCTCATATCACTTTAAAAACCATTTTGTTAAACACATAAATGTGGCTCTAACCGGCTTGTGAATCTTCCATTATATCATTCATTATCAAAGACGTTCTTACTTCCTGTACATACTACATTTTCCTCCCCCGCCCTAAACATGCATAAATTGTATTGTCAAATCTGTCGTAGGTCAGTAACTTTCTACGCTATATATACACGTAAAAGTCACGTCTTTGCCGTAAGTAGTTAAATTGCGTGAAAACAATACTTTATGACGAGTTTCTGTTATTCAATCTGCAAAGATAAAGTCCCCCTAAAAATTGTCCACATATTAAATATGTGTAAGTGCATTGAAACCAGCAGCTTTGCTCACTTTCAAGTTTCCCATTGTAACCAGCACAAAAAAAATAGTACAATTGTGAATTTTTCATAATTTCCGAAAAACATTTGAATTTTCTGTCATTTTCTAGAAATTACGAAAATTGCCAATATAATGGAAAATGGTTTTATGGACATCCAAAAATTCTCTAGTTGATCTGATCTGTTCAGATAAATTTTTGTTGTTGACAATTCTGATCCATAGCCTTTGAAAGGTTTTGTGCA